TTCCAGTGGTATATATATATCTGTTTTGGTACCAATACCATACTATTTTGGTTACTGTAGCCTTGTAGTATAGTTTGAAGTCAGGTAGTGTGATGCCTCCAGCTTTCTTCTTTTTGCTTAGGGTTGTCTTGGCTATGCGGGCTCTTCTTTGAGATGAGTTTTTTCCAATTCTGTGAAAAAAGTCAATGGTAGCTTGATGGGGATAGCATTGAATCTGTAAATTACTTTGGGCAGTATGGCCATTTTCACGATACTGATTCTTCCTATCCATGAACATGGAATGTTTTTCCATTTGTTTGTGTCCTCTCTTATTTCTTTCAGCAGCAGTTTGTAGTTCTTGAAGAGGTCTTTCACATCCCTTGTAGGTTGTATTCCTAGGTATTTTATTATCTTAGTAGCAGTTGTGAATGGGAGTTCACTCAGGATTTGGCTCTCTGTCTGTTATTGGTGTATTGGAATGTTTGTGATTTTTGCACATTGATTTTGTATCCTCAGACTTTGCTGAAGTTGCTTATCAGCTTAAGGAGATTTTAGGCTGAGACAATGGGGTTTTCTAAATATGCAATCATGTCGTCTGCAAACAGAGACAATTTGACTTCCTCTCTTCCTATTTGAATACCCTTTATTTCTTTCTCTTGCCTGATTACCCTGGCCAGAACATCCAATACTATGTTGAATAGAAGTGGTGAGAGAGGACATCCTTGTCTTGTGCCAGTTTTCAAAGAGAGTGCTTCCAGTTTTTGCCCATTCAGTATGATATTGGTGGTGGGTTTGTCGTAAATAGCTCTCATTATTTTGAGATACGTTCCATCAATACCTAGTTTATTGAGAGTTTTTAGCACGACGGGGTGTTGAATTTTGACAAAGGCCTTTTCTGCATCTATTGAGATAATGTTTTGGTTTTTGTCATTAGTTCTGTTTATGTGATGGTTTATGTTTATTGATTTGCGTATGTTGAACCAGCCTTGCATCCCAGGGATGAAGCCAACTTGATTGTGGTGGATAAGCTTTTTGATGTGCTGCTGGATTTGGTTTGCCAGCATTTTATTGAGGATTTTTGCATTGATGTTCATCAAAAATATTGGCCTGAAATTTTCTTTTTTTGTTGTGTTTCTGCCAGGTTTTGGTATCAGGATGATGCTGGCCTCATAAAATGAGTTAGGGAGGATTCCCTCTTTTTCTGTTGTTTGGAATAGTTTCAGAAGGAATAGTACCAGCTCCTCTTTGTACCTCTGTTGGAATTCAGCTATTAATCCATCTGGTCCTGGACTTTTTTTGGTTGGTATGCTATTAATTGCTGCCTCAATTTCAGAACTTGTTATTGGTCTATTCAGGGATTCGACTTCTTCCTGGTTTAGCCTTGGGAGGTTGTATGTGTCCGGGAATTTATCCATTTCTTCTAGATTTTCTAGTTTATTCGCCTAGAGGTGTTTATAGTGTTCTCTGATGGTAGTCTGTATTTCTGTGGGATTGGGGGTAATATCCCCTTTATCATTTTTTATTGCATCTATTTGAATCTTCTCTCGTTTCTTATTTATTGGTCTGGCTAGAGGTCTATCTATTTTGTTGATCTTTTCAAAAAACCAACTCCTGGTTTCATTGGTTCATTGATTTTTTTTGAAGAATTTTTCGTGTCTCTATCTCCTTCAGTTCTGCTCTGATCTTAGTTATTTCTTGTCTTCTGCTAGCTTTTGAATTTGTTTGCTGTTGCTTCTCCAGTTCTTTTAATTTTGATGTTAGGGTGTCAATTTTAAATCTTTCCTGCTTTCTCTTGTGGGCATTTAGTGCTACAAAGCTCCCTCTACACACTGCTTTAAATGTGTCCCAGAGATTCTGGTATGTTGTGTCTTCATTCTCGTTGGTTTCAAAGAACATCTTTATTTCTGCCTTCATTTCATTATTTACCCAGTAGTCATTCTGGAGCAGGTTGTTCAGTTTCCATGTAGTTGTGCGGTTTTGAGTGAGTTTCTTAATCCTGAGTTCTAATTTGATTGCTCTGTGATCTGAGAGTCTGTTATGATTTTTATTCTTTTGCATTTGCTGAGGAGTGTTTCACTTCCAGTTACGTGGCCAATTTTATAATAAGTGCAGTGCACTGCTGAGAAGAATGTATATTCTGTTGATTTGGGGTGGAGAGTTCTGTAGATATCTATTAGGTCCTCTTGATCCAGAACTGAGTTCAAGTCCTGAATATCCTTGTTAATTTTCTGTTTTGTTGATCTGTCTAATGTTGACAGTGGCGTGTTAAAATCTCCCACTATTATTGTGTGGGAGTCTAAGTCTCTTTGTAGGTCTCTGAGAACTTGCTTTATGAGTTCGGGTGCTCCTGTATTGGGTGCCATCTATATTTAGGATAATTAGCTCTTGTTGCATTGATTCCTTTACCATTATGTAACACCCTTCTTTGTCTCTTTTGATCTTTGTTAGTTTAAAGTGTGTTTTGGATTAGGATTGCAACTCCTGCTGCTTTTTGCTTTCCATTTGCTTGGTAAATATTCCTCCATCCCTGTATTTTGAGCCTATGTGTGCCTTTGCACGTGAGATGGGTCTCCTAAATACAGCACACCGATGGGTCTTGACTCTTTATCCAATTTGCCAGTCTGTGTCTTTTAATTGGGGCATTTAGTACGTTTACATTTAAGGTTAATATTGTTATGTGTGAATTTGACCCTGTCATTATTTTGCCCATTAGTTAATGCAGTTTCTTCATAGTGTCGATGGTCTTTACAATTTGGTATGTTTTTGCAGTGGCTGGTACCAGTTTTTCCTTTCTATGTTTAGTGCTTCCTTCTAGAGCTCTTGTAAGGCAGGACCTGGTGGTGACAAAATCTCTCAGCATTTGCTTGTCTGTAAAGGACTTTATTTCTCCTTTGCTTATGAAGCTTAGTTTGGTTGGATGTGAAATTCTGGGTTGAAAATTGTTTTCTTTAAGAATGTTGAATATTGACCCCTAGTCTCTTCTGGCTTATAGGGTTTCTGCAGAGAGATCTGCTGTTATTCTGATGGGCTTCCCTTTGTGGGTAACTCAACCTTTCTCTCTGTCTGCCTTTAACATTTTTTCCTTCATTTCGGCGTTGGTGAATCTGATGATAATGTGTCTTGGGGTTACTCTTCTCGAAGAGTATCTTTGTGGTGTTTTCTATATTTCCTGAATTTGAATGTTGGCCTGTCTTGCTAGGTTGGGGAAGTTCTCCTGGGTAATATCCTGCAGAATGTTTTCCAACTTGGTTCCATTTTCCCTATCACTTTCAGGTACACCAGTCGAATGCAGATTTGGTCTTTTCATCTACTCCGTATTTCTTGGAGGCTTTATTCTTTCCTTTTTTTTCTTTTTTCTCTAATCTTGTCTTCTTACTTCATTTCATTAAGTTGGTCTTCAGTCTTTGATATCCTTTCTTCTGCTTGATTGATTCGGCTGTTGATACTTGTGTGTGCTTCACAAAGTTCTCATGGTGTGTTTTTCAGCTCGTCAGGTCATTTATAGTCTTCTCCAAACTGGTTATTCTAATTAGGAATTCGTCTAACCTTTTTTCAAAGTTCTTAGCTTCCTTGCATTGGGGTAGAACATGCTCCTTTAGCTTGGAGGAGTTAGTTATTACCCACCTTCCAAAGCCTGCTTCTGTCCGTTCATCAAACTCATTCTCCATCCAATTTTGTTCCCTTGCTGGCGAGGAGTTGTGATCCTTTGGAGGAGAAGTGGTGTTCTGGTTTTTGGAATTTTCAGGGTTTTTGTACTGGTTTCTCCCCATCTTTGTGGATTCATCTACCTTTGGACTTTGATGTTGGTGACCTTTGGATGGAGTCTTTGAGTGGACGTGCTATTCCTTTGTGTTTGTTAGTTTTCCTTCTGACAGTCAGGCCCCTCTGCTGTAGGTCTGCTGGAATTTGTTGGAGGTCCACTCCAGACCCTGTTTGCCTGGATTTCATCAGTGGAGGCTGCAGAACAGCAAAGATTGCTGCCTGTTCTTTCCTCTGGAAGTTTCATCCCAGAGGGGCACCTGCCAGATGCCAGCCAGAGCTCTCCTGTATGAAGTGTCTGTCGGCCCATACTGGGAGGTGTCTCCCAATCAGGATGCACGGAGGTCAGGGACCCACTTGAGGAGGCAGTCTGACCCTTACCAGAGCTCATACGCTGTGCTGGGAGGTCCACTGCTCTCTTCAGAGCCATCAGGCAGGGACGTTTAAGTCTGCTGAAGCTGTGCCCACAGCCACCCCTTCCCCCAGATGCTCTGTCCCAGGGAGATGTGGGTTTTATCTGTAAGTCCCTGACTGGGGCTGCTGCCTTTCTTTCAGAGATGGCCTGCCCAAAGAGGAGAAATCTGGCAGTCTGGCCACCGCGGCCTTACTGAGCTGCAGTGTGCTTCTCAAGCTCGTGAACATCTTGTTTGGTGGAATACTCAACATCCATATAAAACATGAATGCAAATTTATATGGATTATGAAAAGATATCCAAGTTGTATTGTTATATGGGGAAAAGCAGTTTACATACAGCATGAATATTAAGATTCTGTGTGTGCATGTGACACATAGAGAAACATCTGGAAGGATGTGAATCATAGTGTTAGGTAGAGAAAAAAATAGTGCTTATCTCTACAGCGTGAGAATTTGGGTGATTTTTTTTTTACTCTGATGGAGATTTTTAATGTAATTCTTTGTTGTTTGAAAGTTTTACATTGAACATTTGTTACTTTAAAATTAAGGGGAAACGTTTCTATTTTGAGAAGAACCTGATTGAATTGTGTTGTTTTGAAAAAGAAGTTCACTTTTAGAATTTTAGGCAACAGGAGAGGATGTTGTCTGTCAGGGGCCACCCTGCTTGGCACCTTTATAAAGCGGACAAACACCTTCATACTGTCATGTATGAAGACACTTTCTTCCTGCAGCAGCATGGCCTTGTAAATGAAGGGAATGGGCTTTCTTACTCCTTCTTCCATTTCCTTTGTATATGGCACTGTGATGTCATTGCCATAATTTTTTCTTCTCTGGTTTTATTTTTCAGGAAGATTTCGATGTCGATCATTTTGTGTCTGACTGTAGGAAGCGGGTCCAGCTGGAAGAACTGAGAGATGACCTGGAGCTCTACTATAAACTTCTTAAAACAGCCATGGTCGAACTCATCAACAAGGATTATGCAGATTTTGTCAATCTTTCAACAAACCTGGTAAACTTTAAATCCACAGTCCCATTTACACACATACAATTTCTTTCTCACTCATACTTATTCTTAGAAGTGTCGTGTGTTTTTAGAAACCTTTTAGTTGATGTCCTCACAGAAATTTGAAGAGATCACTAATCTCATCAATAAAATAACCAAAATTTCTTGATATACAATTTTGCTTTTTTACTTATTTAAGACTATTCTAAATTGAATATTTTTTGAATTTGATATTATTAAAAAGCAAAGGCTAGTAATAGCAGAGTGGTTGTTTTTGTTAGCTGCTGATTACTGTGAAATCTCTCTGGTTTAGACCAATTTGCAAGAGCAAATATCAGCTGTTCTTAAGGAAATGTTTAATTTACTTTCAGATACATATGCTAGCCAGAGCTAGATTCAGAGAACATTGGCTAATATTGATCTTCAGGAGGCTTGGTTTTATAAAATGTAAGAATAGTTTGCCATGAGCTATCAGCTGTTTATAAAAGTAGGTTAGAAGTGCTTATGTTTTAATACTCCCAAAGTTTGCCTTTTGGTCATCCTATTCCTATTTTATTTTACTTTTAAAACTCTCTCCAAAGAAGTACAGAAAGTAACCATCTCCATGGAAACTTTAAGAAGCTTTAAAATTAATGAGCCATATTTGCATTTGGGAAATGTACATCTAAGATAAATGTTGTAGTGGGATTAGAAACCTAGAAATTTTTATTTCCATTCTATTTCATTTGGATTTTTCTCAAGGGTTATAATGGTTAGGACAGATGGAGTCCTTGAGACTTTCATATCAGCTGGTTGAATATTGTAAATTACAGACGGATAGCTCTTTATCTCCAGTTAAATTTTCTCAAATTCATTAAAATATTTTATTCAGAGGCAAATTGTGCCTAAGAAAGCTTTTATTTATTATGACTTCTTTTATTTTTATAGTTTTCATGTACATCAAAGGTTTTTTCACATTCTATCAACAATATTTATTGTAAAATAACATGTTAGTTACTTAGCAATATATGGTTGTTCGTTTTGTTGTACAGAAATAATAACATAAGTCTAGCACTGCATTGATCATTAAATAGATACTTAGCTATTACTCTTGATTGTGAAGTGTGTGTGCCAACATGATCTCTGCCTTTAGGTTGGCATGGACAAAGCCCTCAACCAGCTTTCTGTGCCTTTGGGACAATTACGAGAAGAGGTTCTGGTAAGTTTCCCAAATAACATTAAACAGTTTACCATAAAGCATGATATGCTTGTTTGCCCCTCCAAAAAAGAATTCCTTTAATCTGTTAGATTGTTGTTTTTTGTTTTTTGAATGTTTAGTAATTATAATACCCTCGGAAAAGTTGTAAATCATTCTGTATTTTTTGCGTGTGATACTGTAACCAAAAAAATTTATGTTTGATTTGAAGATGACAGATTCTTGGAGTAGATAGCTTTAAAATGTTGGGGGAGGAGAAGGCTGTTTGAAAACTCAACTTGTTACCGTCAGCTCACTCATATGTAGGTAGTCACTAATTTAAGAATAGCTTCTATTTTAAAAATTTATAGTTTTACAAATATTTTCTCAAATAATATTTTATATATTGTTAGGTTCCTAGACTATCTACAGAATCTCTTTAAACCCTAATGTAACTGAAGGATAATATGCAATTAATGTAATAACTAATTGTATTTATTTTAATGTTCCTATGAGATAATGTCTGCTGTGAGTTGGGACTCCCATGTCTAAGCCATTGGAGACAGGGACTCCATCCGGATGAACAGTAGAGAAGGGAATTTTAGCATCATTTTCAACAGAAAAGTGTGCTACCCTGTCCTGTCCCTGCTGGTCCACCCCACAGTCTGTGTCAGGCACCGTGACTTCCATGCTGTCTTAGCCTTGAGGAGCTGTCATAAACTTGGTTCATTGCACCATTATTACCTGTGTATGTCACCACTAGATCACGCGCAGCTTGTGTAGCCTTATGCACTTAGCCTCTAAGACAGTCCCTGGCACATAGTAGGCTCACAGTAGGTGACATATGTAAACATTCAGTGCATGTGTAGTGCTGAAAAAAAAAAGGCAGAATAATAGCAATGTCAGTGTTTAGAAGTCCATAGGAATGGCAGGCAAGAAATAATTCTTAAAAGAGAGGTCTCGAGTTGTGCCTTGAACTAGCAAATATTTTCAGATGTTTGTGTCTTGTTTGATTTTTTCAAAAAGCTTTTAAAGTACTTCTTGTTGGCATGGAAGGAAAATTGTTTTTGTGATCCACTGTTGGATTCCACACTCTGGGTGGCTTTTACATGGCTCTTGGGTGGCTCTCCTGCCTTCTTTTCAGTGTACCTCTTCCTACCCCCAGCCTTGGAGTTAGGGTGTTTTCCGAGCCTCAGTCCTCAGCCTGTCCTGTCCTCTCCAAATTGCCTCCCATGGAGGTGGATTCACTTTCCTGAATTCTGCTCTGTCATTGTTGACTGCTCTCTCACCTGCAGGCTCTAGTCTTTACCTTGCCTCCTGCCAGCACCATATGCTCTCCCTCTTTCCACAGCTGTCTCTATAGCCATCTTTTTCCTGATTGGTTTAGCAATAGACCTGTTCTTCCTTTTTGACCTCCAACTCATGAAGCTACTCTGTGAGATTCTGCAGTCATTGAGAAATGAGACTATTTCTTTTTCACCATTGCATCCTCATTGGCTTGCACAATAGCTGACATTTAATAGGTATTTCATAACATTTGTGGGATGAATGAATTCACTTTTCTATAGAATTTTTGTGATTTCTCTAGTTTATTCTAGTTTTTCCATTACTTTCATTTTGGCCCTAATTTCTGATTAATTCATTAACTTCTGGACATGCTTCTCCACCTATTACCTCTCCCTTTTCCTTGCCTCCTGTTCTTGACTTCTTGATTCTGAATTTTCCCAAAACAACTTTTTCGTGATATATTAGTACTTAAAATATGTAGAATCTAGTCTAAAGGTATTATCTGGTCATAGCCCTCTTGAATTAACCCTTCCTGTTTTATTCCTACTTTTGCCCAAATTGAAGCCTGCAGTTACCCTTGGATGTATTCCTCACTGGTTCTGAAATATGTCATAACTGTTCTATCTTCCTGCCTTGTCTTCTGATAATCTTCTCTCTATGCTTGTCAGCATCCACAAATTTTTAGAATCTACTCAAGTCTCATCTCCTCCACCAGACACCCTTATACTTTGACTCAGGTTATCCTTTCTTTACCCTGACCACCTGTGATGCTCGTTGTATATATATTAATTTTCTTTCGGCAGCCGATCCTGCATGACCTTGGCTTTATATGTCATTTCCCCCCTAAATCTTGAGACACAAACAGCAATTGTGTCTAATATTTTGTAATTTGTCAATATCTGTGTAATACTGGCCTGTAGGTGTTAAGTCCTGTGGAATTGAATTAAATGTGTAAATTTCATAATGTTATGAAACAATCTCTGCAGTATTTTTTTTTTCTTTTAAAGAGCCTTAGATCATCTGTCAGTGAAGGAATTCGGGCAGTTGATGAACGAGTGTCTAAACAAGAGGACATTAGAAAAAAAAAGGTATACTCAAATATTATAATATTAAAGCATTGATTCACTGTAGCACCTTGTAGTAACAAGCACTTTCAGGCATACGGTGTGATTTACTCTTCTTGATACCTTTGCAGAGAGCAGCGTGATGTCTCTCTGTTTATATTAAAGTGTTTTCTAAATGTATTTATTAGATGTATTTGTGTATTTATTTTTCTTTTGATAACTTTAGTACCCAAGCACACTTTTTAAAATCTCAAGGGAGAGAAGCCTATTTTAGAGATCTTCTGTGTAACTCTTCTTTAGATCCCTTCTCAGCTTTTGTCCAAAGATTCAAGAATATAGTGCATTGCTGGAAAAGATTGTCCACTTCATGAGAGAGGGGATTTTTGCTGTTTTATCCACTTACATTCCCAATGTATAGAAGAATGTCTTGGTTCATGATAGATGCTTTGTAACTATGTATTTAATGAATGGCTTTATTTTTGTTATTTTAACAATGAGTTTTTATAATGTTCCCTGATAATAATATCTGCCTTGTGTAATAAATGTCTTTAATAAATTGGCACTTAGGTTTATCGGTATATCATGCACATGTAAAGGAAGAGGACAAATATGATTGGAAACTAAAAACATGAAAAAAGGATCTTAAGAACATAAATGTAGTACCAAAATAAAGGTTTATTTAAGATGGGGAAAAGAGGCCAGGTGTAATGGCTCACACCTGTAATCTCAGCAGTTTGAGAGACTGAGGCAGGCAGATCGCTTGAGCTCAGGACTTTGAGAACAGCCTGGACAACATAGCAAAACCCTGTCTTTACAAATAATACAAAACAGCCAGATGTGGTGGTGTGTGCCTGTAGTCCCAGCTACTTGGGAGGCTGAGGTGGGAGGATCACTTGAGCCTGGGAAGTTGAGGCTGCAGTGAGTCAAGATCACAGCACTGCACTCCAGCCTGGGTGATAGAGCGAGACCCTGTCCTTAAAAAGATGGAGAAAAGAAAGAGGGAATAAGGATATACTATAAGAAACAAAAAAAATAAGTTTTTTTAAATTCTAAAATTGTGATACAATGTTGAAATATGTTTGTTCTAGAAAGCCAAAATATTTGCATTCTTGGGAATTTAGTGTTATGTATAAATGCTAAAAATGTAGAATGCTATAGGTAATTTTACACTGACTTTTGACTTTGTATTTTCTTGCACTTAGGATGACAAAATAAGATAATTAAGATTAAACATGACCATAGCTTTATTCTTAATTTTTATTTATAGATGTGTGTATTGAGGCTTATACAAGTTATTCGATCAGTTGAGAAAATTGAAAAAATCTTAAACTCTCAAAGTTCTAAAGAAACATCTGCACTAGAAGCAAGCAGGTAAGTATTTTTTTACTAAATAACTCATAAATTAATACTTTACATCCAGGGTAAAAATTTTTTTAGTTAGAACTCATTTTTGATAAAGAAAATCCCAGTCTATGGCTTAGTGTTTTTAAATGTAGCTCAAGCAAAGCAGAGTGCATGAAATGGTAAAGCTTATACATGTTATTATATAGCCTTGATGGTCGTATATAGCCTTGATGGTCGTATATAGCCTTGATGGTCGTATTATATAGCCTTGAAAGGTTCCAACACGGCACCTTTCAGGGAGTCAGAGAACGTGTACTTTCTGTGGAAGGTTTTTATTATTGAAATTGCCTTACCCATGGACTAGTAAAATCCCTATTGACTTGTAAGGTGTGGAATAGCAGTCATCTTAGATTATTTAGACAGGCCCAGAGTATTCCAGTTGATGTATCTTGAGGTTCAAAATGCACGAATGTTATATCATTAAGAAATAGTACAGGACACATTTCACTGAAATTTATAAACAGCAAAGAAAAAGCTGATGAAATAAACAAAAGATGACGGTTTCCTTTGTTATACTATAGTGTCTTATTATCTTCCCACACTGAATTTAAAATCAGTCAGGTCGCTGAGTGACTCAGAAAATGAATTGAATGGATCATTATGAACACAAATGGGAAGCCCCATGGTGCAGTGGAAAGAGCATGGGCTTATGTTGCTTGTACCAGCTGGGTAACTTGAGTCAGGTTACTTCACTCTGTGTCTTGGTATTGTCATCTCTCATATAAGGCTAATAGGAACTTCACTTGGAGGATTGGTAGCCATAGAGTAGACCCTCATACATGTCTAGTTCGGGCCTAACGCAAGCATCTCTGAAAGCCATGTTGATAGCCATCATATTTTTCCTTGACTAATATGGGATAAGCTACAGGAAAACCAACCAGGACCAAATGGAATATACCTGCAGTTCAAAGTCCTGATCATACTATCAAGACAAGTTGGATTTCTTAATTTTAGGATTTAGGATCCTTAAATTCTTAAATTTAGGATTTCAGAATTTTAGATTTGGAGAGACTGTAGAAACAGTATGCTCTGTATCTCTCATTTTATAGATAGGGAGATGAGGCATCTGAAAAGGAAATTATTCTCATGTCCTAGGTCTCTACTTTCTTTCCTGATGGAGATGTGTAAATAAGTGGTCAATCGCTGCCGTCTTTTTTCTTCAGCCTGTAGTACTTGTGCTTCTGTCCCTTCTGTTCCCCTTCATCTGTACTCATCAGAGTCCCTGTCAGTGTCAGTTCTGAGAGAACCAGTGGAGCCCTGTTCGACTAACTGCTCTGCTTCTGTCTTCCACTCAACAGCGTTGACAGCCACTCCCAACTGTGTCCTCACCCGGCATCTGTGATACCTGCTTCCCCGTTTTCTTTTCCTCCTTCCTTATTCCTATTCTGTTCCTTTGATGGACTCCACTGCCCTTTTTCATGCCAGCTTTCTCCAGGGCACTGTTCTTGGCCCTGTGCTCTTGATCAGCACTTTCTGGGTAACCTCGTCCAACCCCATAGTTTTAGTGGCCTCCTGGATGCTGATCCCTTTATCTGCAGACGAACTTCTGTAGTCCTCAGACTCATCAGTCTGATGACTGCAGGGAGTCTAGTGGACGTTCTACAGGCACTTCACATTCGTCATGTTGGAAACTGAGCTCTCATCTTCTTTCCCTGCCTCCGCCAGCAAAAACATTTTACTCCTCCCTTTGATTCCTTGTCTTAGGAAACAGTGCCTTTATTTCCTTCACTAACCAGGCTAGACATCTTGGGGGAGTCAATGTCTCCTTTTTTTCCCTTCATCTCCTTCTTTCATTCACTAGGCAAGCCCTGGAGAGTCTGCTGCTCTAGCATCTCTGAGATTGAGAGATGTCTGCCTCTCCTTCTCAGTTCTCCCATTGGCTCGTTTCAGGCAGTGGCCTCCTGACTGACCTCTCATTTTCTCTAGGACAACTAACTCTGTAGCTGTCAAATGGATCTTTCAGATTTGTCTAATCACATCTTACTATGTGATTGGGAAACAATGATTGCCTAGTGTTTTTAGGGTAAATCTTAAACTCCTAAGCTGCTCCTTGCCACTTCTGTATTCTTCACTAAAGCTATTCAGAACTACTTGTGGTTCCCTGACTGCCCTGAACATTGCTGACTTATGCTTCCTTAATTTTACTATGTATGGCCATTTATTGTACTAAAAGCCCTTCCTTTAACTTCCACCTCCCTTTCACGTGCCTGATTTCTCTTTATTCCATCCAAATCTAGCCCAAAACATGCTTAAAGTATGGAAAGGTTCAAAATACTATGCTAAGTGGAAAAAAAGCAGGTTATAAAACGATACAGATTGGTTATGTAAAAATTTATTCTTGTCTCTTGTATGGGATACTGTTGATCCCTTCTGCTTTCTTTAAACCTGTCTCACTCAGTTCTGTGAGAGAAAGTATAAACAAGACACTGCAAGAGTTCCCTTCCATAAAGCTCACTTACAAGACCACCTCTTTTAGGAAGTCGTCCCTGACCTTTCAGATTTAGATGCTCCATCTCCATGCATTCATCAGGCCTCCGGGTCATCCACCAGACAACTTACGGTTGAGACTGGAACTGTTGATTGACTTGCATGCCTTCTCCATCAGTCTGTAAGGTCCCTGACATCTTTATACCCACAGTGTCTGGAATTAGTAGGTACCTAAGAAAAGATACCAAATGTCCCCCACTAGTGGAGAGTAGGCTTCTAATTACCTCAGTGATGTCTGTTTCTGGATACAATAATACTCTTATATTATTGTATTATATTCAGTATGTTATATTCAGTATAATAGACACTGCACTCTTCCTTGCTCTGAATCATCTTTGAGGAGCTTTTCTTAAATTCAGATCTGCAAATCTGAGCTGTAGAGAAGGTAAAACCAGGGCAATATTACTGAATAGTAGATATACCATGCTTGTTAAGCCAAGAAACATTCAGATAATTTATAAATAATCAATTCACACGAGATTATTCAGGAAAGAGTTAGGGATATTCAAGAAAGAGTTAACCTTTTTGGTTGGTCACGCTGGGTAGCTCCTGTTCCTCTAAACTAGTTTGGATGCTACAAATACAGAACTGGGTAGACCACTGACACTCTCAGTGCAGCATTTTCTGTGTCCTTATGATGTGGGCATTTTTCCTCACTCACTGATGAGCCATCAGTGTACACAGGATGCCTCAGTATACACAGCGGGTGATTATACCTTTATACTTCTCCTCTGCTATTTTACTTCTTTTTGAGTGATATTGACACTTGATAATATGTTTGGGGGGGAAAAGTACATTTATTATATTTTGTGCCAGATATGTAAAGAATGCCCTGTCACTAGGACCCAGAACATACAGGTTGACAGCTGTTGCTGTTTGGTAAATGTAATTTTAAAGTAAGTCATTACTATTTAAATTTAAAATAAGATATTTTGAGATATTTATTCCTGCTGGAGGGTCAGTGTCATTTATTGAGGAGACAAATGTATTTGGTATTTTAAAATATTTAGAGGTATTTTAGCAAGGGGAGTGAGGCAAGCGGAGAAGTAGAAAGGATCCAGCTATAAGAAATGGGATGGAAAGAGAAAGAAACGATAAGGAGGGAGAGGGGAAAGGTCAGGGGGGGGAAGAGGGAAGAAGAAGGGAGGTTGAAGCTGAAGAAGAAGGTTATGAATGGGAGGGCTTGGAGTCAGTGGCAGAAACATGTAATTGCATGCACACAGGCCTGGCCAGCCCTGCTGCTGTCTGGTCCCTGTGGGTCAAGGCCAGGCAGCAGCAGCAGCTTGTACTCAACAGATTCCCCAGTGCACTTAGAACATGCTGTGCATATGGCTCCTGGGGAACATTGACTGATGGCACAAAAGACGCTTTAGCTTTCACCTCGTAACAAGGTGGCCATGTAAAACACTTTGACAAAAGTCAAAATATACTGGGTGTGAAAGCCTCTCACTGCCAGGTGTGTGATGTATTCTCGTGGAAATAGAGACCTTAGGGATTACACTTCTATAATTGTTTTCTCTACTAGCCCCCTTTTGACCGGACAAATTTTGGAGAGAATTGCCACAGAATTTAATCAGTTACAGTTTCATGCTGTTCAAAGCAAAGGCATGCCTCTTTTGGACAAAGTAAGACCGGTAAGTGTTGTTTTGGATTTCCACAGTTTAGTGTTTAGGAACTTGCTAAATAATTCTGGTTTAAATTAGTAATATTGTTGATCTAAGGGTTTTGAACCTAGCCTTGCATTTTTTTTTTTCAATTTTTAATTTTCAGGGCCCCAGCTTCCTAAGTGTCACACATTATAGATTTTGTGTAAAGACTCAGTCACATTTTCCAGATGATAAGAGTAAAATTAATTCTGAATTTCATGGAATTGGACATATTATATGATGTAGACAATTAATTTATCCAAAGCTCTTAATTGGATTTTAAATCCATGATGTTTCCTAAAGATTGACTCTGTAGCTTAAGAGGAAGATAATTTTTTTCTCATTCTGTAATTCTGTCTAAATTCTTCTTTGATGAAGCAGAAATTTACTTATAAAGAGATTGGGGTGGGGGGTTCATTGTTATCTCCAGGAAAAGTTATTATTTTGATTTTATATATGTCATCATCTATTGGTGTAAGAGGCTCGTTATGTGTCTATTCGCAGTTTCAGAAATTGCTCCAACTAGAGCTTTTTTTACTTACCCACCTTTTCTTGCAGCGTATAGCTGGCATTACAGCCATGTTACAGCAGTCACTGGAAGGCCTCCTATTAGAAGGCCTTCAGACGTCTGATGTCGACATAATACGGCACTGCTTGCGGACTTACGCCACGATTGACAAGACACGGGACGCGGAGGCCTTAGTTGGCCAAGTACTAGTGAAACCATACATAGACGAGGTCTGTGCACCTCCTTCAACAAACATTCATGAGCTTCTGCTCTGTCTTTGACTCTTTACTGGGTGTGAGGAAGATAAGAAGAGAGAACAGAGATCTTTCTGGAAAGATTCTCAGTTCCTACAGTACCAGCTGTAAGGAAGGCTTGGTCCCCATGGGTTACAGTTGGGAAGTAATGTTACAATGCCAGGAATTGGGCATGCCCTCTCAGGTGTCCTAGCAGTGCTGTGGCTCAGACTTCAAGGGCGACATTCTCACCTAGGGAGAAGGTGTGCATCCACGTGTTTTTAGGTCAATTTCATGGCAGGCAATTGTTCCTCAGTAGTTGTTAAAAGAATGTTTTCAAACCACTGGTCTTATGGGTGGACTAAGCAGGGTGGACAATTAAGCAGTGACAACACTGCAGTGTACGAGGAAGGTGCAGAGAGTGCTGTGAGCGTGGAAAGGTGTGTGAGTGGGGTAGACAGTGGCACCCTCAAGTCTTCAGGGAATAAATGACATTTGGCCCAAGTCTTGAAAAATACGGAGGAGTTTGCTGGACGGGGAAGGCGACAGGAGGAATATTCAAAGATCAAGGGCTTTTATAACAAATTAGCTGGGTAATACCTTAAATCTAGAACTCGGCTATGCAATATCCTTCACCTATTAGGATATAGCTAAAATACAGGAAGTAAGTGTATCCCGCTTCTGAGCAGCCGGAGTATAGATTGTGCTATATAAAGTTGCTGATACTCAGCAGTTTCTGACATGCAAAAACAGCAGCTTCGTCTGCTTCAGACTGAGAGAAGTCACTGAGCCCATCCTCAGTGTTTGGGGACTTGCCTCCAGTGACCTGTCAGTGTGAATGTTCTGACTGTTGTTAGTAAATACAAAGATTATACTCACATGATTTCAGGGTGAAAGTCTTTTATTTTTTAAAATGGAAAGTTGAGACTCCCACTGATAAAAGTTAAATTTAGGGACTAATTTAATAATTATTTTGGCCTTGTTAAGATTACTAAAAATAAATAATCTTTCAGTTCTGTTTATATCCTGTTATATTCCATAGCTGTCTCTATGGGAGTGAAAAAATTACGTACATTATTTCTTTGTCAATAAGTGAAAAATTTGTGTGTGTGTGGTTTGGGGGGCAGGGTCTCACTCTGTCGCCCAGGCTGGAGTGCAGTGGCATGATCATGGCTCACTGTAGCCTCAACCTCCTGGGCTCAAGCAGTCCTCCCACCTCAGCCTCCCAAGTAGCTGGAACTACAGGTACACACCACCATGCCTGGCTAATGGTTTTTTTTGTATTTTTTGTAGAGACGAGGTTTTGCCATGTTGTCCAAACTGATCTTGAACTCCTAAGCTCAAGTGATCTGCCTGCCTTGGTCACCCAAAGTGCTGGAATTACAGGCATGAGCCACCGTGCCCAACCAATGAAAATATTTTAGTCACTCATCTATTCCTTTTTCACTGAACTGAATATAGTATGCTAAATTCAAGAAATATTTGAACTTTCAGTGGCATATTAAATTCAGTAGCCACATTATGTTTTATTTAAACTCAGCTTATCTTGTCATATCATTCTTGACTCCCAATTTTATCACAAAAAATAAAATAATAAACTAATATATTTTCTATCTTTCTCTGCCTCAAACCCTTCCCTAATCTGCATGATGGTAGAAGAAAAGGCCAGGATAAAGACAGTGAGGAGTTGCAGTGGAGAATCGTGTGCTCTGCTTTAAATTGTTTTTTTAAAAGGTGTTACTCTATTTTCAAACTCACAGGGAAGCAGATGAGAGTGCATGGTTTATCAGCCCATGTCTCCCCAACAGTCGTAATTGTGCAGCCAAATCCGAGGAACTAGTTTTGAATGTGGCCTGTTATTTACTTTATTGTTTAGAAAATATGTCACAGGGAGGAGGGTGAGCATGAGGAAGCAGATTTGTAAAGTTTTCTTTATTGTTTTCTCTGAAATATATAGTTTGTACTTCCCTTTAAAATGCTTTTTTTAAAAAATGATATTCCTTTTAATAGGTGATTATAGAGCAGTTTGTTGAATCTCATCCCAATGGCCTTCAGGTCATGTATAATAAACTCCTGGAGTTTGTTCCTCACCATTGCCGCCTTCTTCGAGAAGTCACGGGAGGTGCCATCTCCAGGTAATTTAAACGACCCTGTGTGGACCCCCACCTCCCTTTCAGTGACCGCACCTGCTAAGCACAGGTGCACGACAGACGATGACTGTCTTGTATGAAGTGAATCCATTATGAATCTTGTTATTTCATTGTTTCTACCCATGATATTGTGAGGCAGGTTGCATTAGCCTCATTTCAAAGATGTGGACACTGAGATGAAGCTGAGACTAACGACCACATTTCCAAATCCAAAGTCTAGCCTTTCTTCTTCTCTGCACTTTTTCCTAAATTTAGTTTGAAGTCAGAATTGCTTTCCTTCCATGATTCTAATATGTCATAATCTGTCTATAGATATCAGTTCAGTTTAATTCAACAAGTTTTATACTAAGTATGAACTCATCTTCAATTTTTCCTCCCTTGGTTCAGTTTCCAAGACTTCCTGATTCTCTTTCATAAATATCCCATTACTTTCACCATTGCCATTGTGCCAGTCCAGGCCTTGTCATCTGCTGTCCACAATAATAGAATCTCCCCACCCTGTCTCCCTACTTCCAGTCTCTCCTTCTCTAAGCTTCTGACTGTCACATTTACCCAGAAATCTGCGATTCATAGATTTCTTCATAAATCTTTAGTGGCTTCTCAGTGCACATGGAGGAAGATCCAGGCTTCTTGAAGCAGGGCGTGAGGCCCTTTTTGTTCTTGCCTGGTAGCTCTCCACTGGAGAACTCTCGGCCATGGAACTTTCCCTCCATATCCCTGGACGCTCTAGCCACACAGTGCTAGCTGCCTTTCCCCAGCTCCCTTGTACTCACGTGCGTCTGCATTTTTCCTCTGCTTGCCTTGCCCTTCCTGTGCCCTTCGTTTTCCTGTCAAACTGCCTCTCCACGTGAATCTCCAGCTCAGATACCACCTCCTTCAAGAGACCATCCTTGGCTGGGCGTAGTGGCTCGCACCTGTGATCCCAGCACTTTGGGAGGCCAAGGCAGGCGATTCGCTTGAGGCCAGGAGTTCAAGACCAGCCTGGGCAACATGACAAAACCCTGTCTTTAAAAAAAAAAAAAACAGTCTTTGTCCTAACGTTCAGCATTCATCATGTCCTGTGGATTGCAGGACGTGTTGCTTTTGTGTCTTCTGAGTACTGATTTCCATGTTGCGTTGTGATCACCTCTCCGCTGCTCACACCTTCCCTTGCCTCTTGACACAGTGTCTTAGAGCTAGCAGCTGCCCAGTTAGTGTTTGCAAAATGAAAGAATTAACTAAGTTTAATGCTCAAAAGGCAAATAAGGTCTCTGTTTTCATGGAGCAAGCAATATATTTGGCCTTGAGTTTTTGTTCTTTGCAGAAATGTGGGGTAATTAATATGCTGCTTGGCATTCGCAGTACCCTCTCTCTTTCCTCTGTACCACCTAAGATGAAGCCTAGTTTTGCTGCTTTTGTTTAGTAATCATAAGGATTTGGGGATAAGAATATAGTAGAAATCATGATGTAAAATGAAGCCATAGATATGAAACAATCAGTCATTAGATTTGACAGAGCCAGTCTGGGTCCAGAGATGTCAAGCTTCAAAGCTTTAGGGGATCTTTTCCACAGTTTTTAGTGTGGGGGAATTCACGTAGAAGGCTTAGAGATTTGAGGAATCTGAACTGTACCTTGCGAGATCATCTTCATCTGCTGCTAGCCCGTCACTGTGTTGCAGGTTCTGTGTATCCCTTTCCTTCCCGTGCTCGGCTCCTGGCTTCAGATTTCCAGCTTGGTGCTTTCCCTGTCACTCTTTTCTTTTATCATGTGCCACCCTTCATGGGCTTTATAACTGGCAACACCAAAACATTCATGATTTCTCCTCCAGAGAATACAGATGAGCTTTTCTAATCCGTCTACTGTTGATTTTGCAGGTTTTACATTCTGTCTTTGGGGCTTTCATTAGACATTAACTTTGGGAACGAGGAAATGTTGTCATTTAGTAGTGATTATATTATGTATATCTGTAGTTTGGAGTCCTCAATTTTGTGCTTTCTTTCTCCAGATACCTTAACAGAGCCTGCTCTTACTATTATTTGACAGTGTATAATATGTTGTGTGGAATTGGATATATGGGAGGCAGCCATCTTCTTTCCCCTTCCTGGCCCTCCACCCCCACCAGTAATTTCTTAACAATACTTAGGTGAAACTATACTAACAGTATTTGCTAGCTCTTCCTGGACAGTGAAACAAAGCTTCCTTGATAACTTATCTGTCTTGATAATTTTCGTTAAGCAGGAAAATTACAAAAACTTTAAAAAATTTTATTTTAATACTTACCAGAATGTTAAGTCCCATTTTGATATGGCAACTTAGCTACAAAACTCCCAGTTTTGCTAAAATAAGAACATTTATTAAATTGTTTGCCATTTTAAAAAATTACCTTAAAATAGAGCAGAATACACAGTATGAAACAAAGTGGGCAGATTAGTGAAATGGTGTTTGCCTAGAATGGATGTTTACAGGTCTTTGAGTTCGTGACAGACTTAAGGAATCTCTCTTATTTAACCGTTACTAACATAGGGCTTTTACTATGTGTTAGGCACTATCCTAAGTACTTTACAAATATTAATTCTTATTATGACTTTGTGAAGTTGGTACTATTATCATCACCATTTGAAAGATGAAGAAACCAAAGCACAGAGAAGTTAAATGATTTGCCCACACTCCAGTATTTGAATCAGGCACACTGGCTCCGAAGCGCATGCTTTTGTCTCAGTGCTGCCTGTCATCTACATTTGGGAATTTGGAATTTAAAGTCTGGTGCTAAACAAAGACAAAATAAGACAAGCGCACACACACACAAAAAATTAATCTATTATCAGATTTTTGTGTCAAGATTTGTGATAAGATTTCCCATTTGATAGTCATAGAATTTTAGAACTGAAAGTAATCTTAGAGATAGCTTAGTAAATAAAAGCTGTTATTACTTTATAAATTAGCATAATTTACAATGCTGTATGGTTTATTGGTGTTCAGTAACGTGAAGGTTATTTTTCCTGTAGTATTAGACTACTCTACTTGTTTTCCCCAAGATAGGAGTATAAAGGTGGTGGGAAGTATTTTAGAGGGAAAAGTGTACCGAGGTGATTAGCCTTGACACCAGGTGGAGGAGTCAAGATCTAGGAGATTTGCCGGGTGTGAGGTGAGACTGAGATGAAGGAGTGGAATAGAAATTTGAGTCTAGAAACAAACTAAATTACAAATTTTTTTTTTTTTTAAGTTGAAATAAGTTTTAGACTGCAGATCTTTTGGCAGAAGCAACACAGTGGAAATTTGCTCTTTGTAAATAGATTATGGTGTATTTTACTGAAATGTGCTCTTATTTTACAGTGAAAAAGGCAATACTGTTCCTGGATATGACTTTTTGGTGAATTCTGTCTGGCCACAAATAGTACAAGGATTAGAAGAAAAGTTACCCTCGCTTTTTAATCCTGGGAATCCCGATGCATTTCATGAGGTATCTCTGCCCATCGTCTTGATTCTTGAAGATGTTAACCGGAGACTGGAGAAATATCATGTTCTCTTCTGCTTAGTCTTGGTTCTGTGGTTTATTAAAAATAAAAATTTGAGTTGCTAAGTGAACATTTACCTTAAAACACACACATCACTTTATCTAAGATATGAGCTATGATACTTTTAGGAATAAGAACATTTTCATTTTATAATATAAAGCATAATTAAGTCTAGATACAAGTGTGAGTAGAAATGTACATTATTTTCTTAAAAACATCCTGAGGACCGTTAAAAGCCAGTGTTTTTGCAGTTTTCTGTGAAAAATTAAGTTTGTACATCTCTGCCATATAATTTTGAATGAAAACAAAGAGTACTCATTGGATTTTTTCAAGCAGCAAGTACAAAGGAATTGATTGGATTTTAAAATAGACTATATAAATGTCCTCTATAATTTAAAAGTTAGAAAGCCCCAATATTTATTTCCTTTTTTAATTTATATTTTATTTTATTATTACTATTACTATTTTTGAAACAGGGTCTTAGTCTGTCGCCCAGGGTGAAGTGCAGTGGCACAATTATAGCTCACTGCAGTCTTTGACTCCTGAACTCAAGCAGTCCTCTCTGCTGCTTCCTGAGTAGCTGGGATTTCAGTGCACACCACCATGCCTGGTCAATTTTTCTTTTCATTTCTTTTTCTTTTTCTTTTTCTTTTTCTTTTTCTTTTTCTTTTCTTTTCTTTTCCTTTTCCTTTTCCTTTTCTTTTTCTTTTTCCTTTTCTGTGGAGATGGGTCTCACTGTTGCCCAGGCTGGTTTTGAACTGCTGGCCTCATGCAGTCCTTCCCCCTCAACCTCCCAAAGTGCTAGGATTTCAGGTGAGCCCCCATGTCCAGCCCTGTTCCACCCCCAGCTTTTTTCCCCCTTAAAAAAGAAAAAAGATTTCATGGTTAGGATTTAAAAAGTTAATGTATAAGTTTGTTTTCCTTTGTATCATTTTAAAGGCTCAGCCTCTTGGTACTTTTCTTCCTTCTCCTTCCCTGGATTTTGGTTTTTGGTTTCTTATGCAATGAGATAATCTTTGTCATTTAATTAGGTACTTTATTAAATTTGCAGTGATTCTAATTGTCAATACATTTGACTCATTTTGTACTTTCTCTTTGTTCCAGTTTTCTTCCCTTATTTCCTTCCTCCCATCTTTTTTTCCTCCCTTCTTTTTTCACCTTCTTTGTATTTTAGACTTCTGGGGATCTGTTTTCTGTCTTTATTCCATTTTGTCCCCTCTACTAATTTGGAAGTTGTACCCTTTATTTCTGTATATATTCAGTAACCTTAGTGGTTACTTAACAGAATCTAAAGTTGATTGATGTTCTTGAGCCTTCTCCTGGACAATACGCGAACTTAGAGCACATTAACGCCAGCCATCCCTTCTCATAGTATATATTTTTGTTTCCTTGCTCGTACTTCTATTTTTTTTTTTAATCTTAAAAACTGGGCATTTTTATTGTTTTAAATAGTCATCATCCTCTGGGAATTACCCTACATGTTTGTCATTGCTTACTGTTCCTTTTTGAATGTCAGCTCATCCTTCTTGAATCGTTCTTCTGAAATTCATGTTAGAAGACTTTTTAGTAAGGCTCTGTTGATAATAATTTATTTTTTTAAATAATTTCTCAGTTTGCGTTTGTCTGAAAATAACTGTATTGCTTCTGTTTGTAAGGTCAGTTTGCTGGATATATTAATAGAATTCTCAGCACTTTGAGTATTGTCTTTTGAGTTGCATTATTAAGTTCACTGTTAATTTAATTGTTATTCCTTTGTAGTTAATGCCTTTTTTCTCTGGCTGCTTTTAAGATCTTCTGTGTGACTTTGGTGTGCTAAATAAGTTCTGCTGTGATATGTCCAGTAGAACTTCTTTTTTTAATTATTATCCTTAGGATTTGATAGGTTTTTCTGAATCTGAGAATTGGTGTCTTTCATCCATTCTGGAAGATTTTTATTTATTATTTCTTCAATTGTGCTTTTCTTTCCTTCCTCCATCATCTCCATCTAGATCTCTTGTTTAGACCGGCTCACCCTATCCTCTGTATTTGCTGCATTCTCGATAATTTCACAGTCTGTCTTATAGGTCACTAATTCCATTCTTAGTTGTATCTAAACTCTTTTCCACCTGCATATTGAGTTTCCAGTTAATTGTCATTTTTTTTATTTCTGGAAGTTGTATTTGTTCTTTGTCTAGCCTCCCTGGTGAATTTGTTTATTGATTTTTTAAGTGTAGAGAGGCACAAGATAAGCGTAAACAGCCTGGGGCCCAGCAGATTTCCCACAGATAAGACAACACATTGGGAGGTTTACCATCCCAGAAATGCAGCTTACCTTATCTCTTGGCAGATTGTCCCATATTACAGTGCATTGAATAACAGGATTGTGCTGTTTTCAATAAATTTTGTAGCAACAACATTTGTGATTTTAAAAAGTAGGCTTTTTTTTTTTTTTTTTTTTTTTGAGACGGAGTCTCACGCTGTTGCCCAGGCTGGAGTGCAGTGGCGCGATCTCGGCTCACTGCAAGCTCCGCCTCCCGGGTTCCCGCCATTCTCCTGCCTCAGCCTCCTGAGTAGCTGGGACTACAGGCGCCCGCCACCGCGCCCGGCTAATTTTTTTTTTTGTATTTTTAGTAGAGACGGGGTTTCACTGTGGTCTCGATCTCCTGACCTTGTGATCCGCCCGCCTCGGCCTCCCAAAGTGCTGAGATTACAGGCTTGAGCCACCGCGCCCGGCAAAGTAGGCTTTTAAGGTAGCATAAGGAGAGTGAAATAATGGCTTTAAGCAGTAGCAATTGTAAGCTTTAAGCACTGGCAAATGTAAAGACGCTTTACAATTTGCTGTATGCTTTAGAGACTCATATTGACCATGTTTGGCTCAGGAAATGTTTCAGCTCAGAAATGAACCTTTCCGATAGAACTTGACTTTAGAATTTTAGGCTAATACTTAACGTTTGTGAGTATAGTTTCCAGCAGATAGTATCCATTTATTTCCAGAAATACTTTCAGCTTTAAGCCTTAATGTAACATGTTTCTTGTAAGAGGGAAGTATCTTTATATATATATATTTAGCATCCATTATATGCAGAGGTATAGTTTTGTCCCAAAAGGGAAGAATAATCCCGATTTTTGTCTCAACTCTGCACACCTAGACCACCCTCTGGGATAACAGAAGTTTGCCCAAAATCTTTTGAAAGAAATTTAAAGCCTGTAGTTTTTACTACTACAAAATCCTGTCTAAGCACAGACTTTAGCATATTTAGATGAATGGTTTGGTGACCCTGGATTGAGCCCCTTTTAATTGAGAAGAACATAAAAAAGCCAACAGTGTTCTTAGAGCCTGGGGGCTTCGGGAATAAAGTACCCACAAAAGCAACGTGCAGTGCAGTCGCAGTTTTGCTCAACTGACTGACTAGCATTCTGCTTCCTCTACCTCCTAGCTTGTCTTTTGAGCAGGTTCTCTGCGAGCCTCAACAGAAGAAGAAGCATCATTTGTAAAATGGGGGATGATGATGAGGATGATAGCAGTTGCCTTGTGGGGTAGTTTTGTGGGTTAAATTAAATAATACAATTCTAAGCACAGTGTGTTGATGATAAATGCTACGAGTTAGCTGCCACTCTTAATGGTTTTGGTACATCTCCCTGTCAGTTTTCATGCTATCTTATTTATAAAAATGATACGAATACTCACATGGTTCGATTATTTCTCTTCTCTCCCTTTCTTCTTCAGAATTTTCTCCTTCTGTTCTTTCTCCTATGTGAGGCAATGATGAATTATGTCATTTAATCTGCTGTCAATTCAAATTCCAGTGGGCTGGGGTAGGGGGCCCTAGAACATGAGCACTACCATTTAAAGAGCACCAGACTTGGAGTGCCTGGGTCTCAGATGGGCTTTGCCATGGAATACACGGAAGACATATCACAGAACCACTTTGGGCATTTACGCATCTTTAAATGGGACATTGGAAGGAAGATCTCGCAAGGTCCCTGTTAACTCTAGAAACTGTGATTCTTATGTGTTGACCTTCTTTATCTTGATTAGTTTTCAGTACATGCTCCCTGTTCTGGTTAGTTTTCTGATAATGAAAATTTTCCATTTGTTTTTATTTTAGAAATATACCATAAGTATGGATTTTGTCAGAAGATTTGAACGGCAATGTGGATCACAGGCTAGTGTAAAAAGATTAAGAGCACATCCTGCCTATCATAGCTTCAATAATAAGTGGAACTTGCCTGTTTATTTTCAAATAAGGTTGGTCATTTATTCACCGCCACCCCCACCCCACACCCTTCTAAAACAGAATTTGAATGCCAATTAAGGTTGTTGTGCCAATTAGTGGCTCCTTTTCTCTGATCATTATAATAGGCTTTGGGAGACAAAATTGAAAGTGGAGAAAGATACATAAGAAGTATTATGGTTGCCAAAGTCTGACTTGCATGACAAAAACGTAAGTTTTATTTTTTGGTAATTGGAGAGCTCAGAACACAAGAGTTGGAAGGAGCTGACTCCAAGCCCCGCCTCATTCCCACCCACCATGTCCTCATTCATTGTGAAAAGAGAAAGTAGGAGTTATACAGCAGCTCTTTTTTTCCATTTTCCCTGTGTCATCATCTGCCTCAAATAATGAACCTGTCTCACATCTGTTTTTGCTCATCTGAGATACTTGTCCTCTAGAGGGAATGGGGAAAAGCAGAGCCTTAAGTGTTCTTTGCAGCTGGTTCCATCTATTAGTGTATGAGAAGCCTCATCATTATTTCGGCTTCGCTTATCATCTTTGTGACATTTGTGCCCTCTATTCTGGAAAATGGTGACATTTTTCTTCCAGGTTTCATGATGATATCACCTTTGTCAATAAGCCATTCTATAAAATACTTGGGGAAATGTAGGATGAACCCTTAACATCATACAGTGCATTGGAGAAACAGATGATAATAGCCATTTTTGCAGATTCTCTTGAATGAGGTCATGATATGTTCTTCCATAGAATGGCATTTTACCTGAAATGCTCTTTGAAGAATCATAGGCTTTTTTATTTACATTGCTGGATGCTTTCATTAATTATGATGCAGTCCTTTCCCCTAGAGTTCTGAGGAATAATTACAGAGAAGGAGATCAAGAATTAGGTCCCCTGATGATAATTGCTTGGGATGATTGAGAATGTATGTAATCATCTTTTTATAATGAAATCACAGTTCTCAGAATGAAGTAGTAAGGTGCCCTTTCACTTACAATACTGTGTTTTATGCTAAATTTTCCAAGGTTGCGTCATCATGTAGTTTGTCTCTCAGCAGGAAATTATGGATTTGTTCATCTAAGATGTTAATGGGATGCACTGGAAATAGTTGTTGTATGATAATCAACATCAAGCCAGGGCAAGAAGCCTTTTTGATTTGTGAGCAGGATTTAAAATAGCAAAGCATCGTTTTATAAAATGATACTGCTATGGAGAAATAAGGTTTACATTTCCCCATCTCTCTGTCATCCAGGTTTGGAGTTAGATTACTTTGGTTATCTAATGCTATCACCTCACAAACATACTCCTCTGCTTCCTGCCTCCAAACTCTTTCCTGGTCCTTTTCCTCAGACCCTGGGACCCATGCACCGTTACCTCACTCTTCCATCCCACCACTGCACCTCCTGCAGCCCCCATGGGCTATTTCAGCCTGTGCTCTTGGCTCTGCCAGGCTGGGCCCCTTGGTGATGGCACAGCTTGGCTTCAGCTGCATCTCCCTTCGTTTCAGTTTCTCTCAAAGCTGGTAATTGGGGCTTAAACTCCATTGAAACTCAGCCAATTCCCTGAAAGTCTTTTTTACCTTCACCAGATTTCAGCCTTAAGCCTTCAAAGGAGTTGATTAGCCTTTTTGAAAAAACCTCTTTTATTTAAAATTTGTGAAATTTAAAAAAATACATTTGAGTTATGAAGTGTAGAACTTGTTTTTAGTACATTTGTTTTTCCATCTAAAAAGTAAATTCCATTAAGACTTTGTAGAACTTTTCTATTGATTTTTATCAGGTGTTGGGTTGTTTGCTCTGAAGGATGACAAAAAGTTCCGCAAACATGGTTAGGGTCAGAGTTGCATTGTCATCAGATTCATTTCAAGGTCATTTGAAGTAAACCTAAAGACAGTGGGGTGGTGATGGTTGGACATTTCCTAAGAAGAAATATTAATATTGCACTCTCAGTAGAAGTTTTCTGCTCCTGGATCTGACTACCCATATCCCAATCATCTTCGGGAAAAAAGCCACCTCCCCAGCCCAGCCATCACCACAATTCTTGTGAACACATTTTGTATCCTCTCACTGTCCCTGAGACCCCGCTGTGTCTACATTTCATTTGCTCCTATGGGCATATTGGAAAGTAGATGAGGACTTAGTTTCTCATGGGAAGAAATTAAATGCAGATGTGATCAAAACAGCCTCAAATTATAATGAGTCAGTGACTGCCTGGAAACTGCAGGTGTTAGCCCTTTAAATGCCAAAGGCTAAATTTCAGTTTGCTATTCTTTTTAAAATTGAAATATTTCTAGTACATTCACATGTATATACTGTATTACATAGTATATGCTGAACACAGTCTTATGATGTGGAATCTACGTAGTAATATTAAGGTGCGGGTAGCCCTTTCTTTCCTGTCCCTGCACTCCTCTCAGACATGTGTATCCACGAGAGACGGGTGCACTTATGATGTTCCTGATACTTCAGAGAAAAAAAACCGTAGGCATCACTATTGTTATCGCCATTGTAATTTTTATTTAAGTATTATTGTAGCCCTGTGATGTTCGTGGAGGAATATGTCTAGAGACCTTCCCCGGGCCTATATTTAAGAATTTAGAAATGTTTGTATTTGGGGTTGCCCTTCTTACATGGATCCTGTTGAGAGTAGAATGACATTTGATGTGCACATGAAAACCACAGCATAGCTTTTCAGATTTCAACAGAGGTTCCCTCTCTCTTTTGGCCATTTTCCAAGAAGAAATATGTTCTGTTGCTTCATTCCTGGCAGTTACCACACAGCAGAGCTGTGTGAGGGGCTGGTCCCCTGGCTGGGGAGCACACCTAGGCCAAGTGACTCGGGCAGTTGTAATCATACATCACTGTCCCTGCTCAAAGATAGGCAGAACCTCTCTGTGAAATGCAGGGATCAAGGCTCTGCTGCATTTTTTTGGTCCTTTTTCATTTGTATGCTTTTCAGAATTATCGTAAATATACATAAAACTCTGTAGCCCATGTCTTTGCATAGTACTAAATTATACCTATTTTTTCTTATTGGTTTATAGCATCAAGCTTCCACATTAATACTGCATACTGGTCCATTGAATATACTGCAGATTCTGTAACCATATTCTTTCTTTTGGCCATTTAGGTTGCTTCAGTTTTTCCCTGATATAAACAGTGCTGTGTCAGCTATCAGGCCTTTTCTGTATCATGGCTAACTTCCTGTATTTTGTTTAGATTTTGAAGAAAGGCAGGACTGGGGGTCTGAGGTTGAGCTCTAGGAGCTGGTTTGCTCTCCCAGGTGCAGAGCAGTCCCATCTCCCTTGTTCCCGTGTTCAGTGTCACTGCCTCCTCTTACTGCTGTTCCTGGGCTAGTTTCCAGTGCTCTATTATTATTATTATTATTTTTTTTTTGAGACGGAGTCTCGCTCTGTCGCCCAGGCTGGAGTGTAGTGGCGCGATCTAGGCTCACTGCAAGCTCCGCCTCCTAGGTTCACGCCATTCTCCTGCCTCAGCCTCCCAAGTAGCTGGGACTGCAGGCGCCCGCCACCACGGCCGGCTAATTCTTTCTTGTAGTTTTTTTTAGTAGAGACGGGGTTTCACCGTGTTAGCCAGGATGGTCTCGATCTCCTGACCTCGTGATCCGCCCGTCTTGGCCTCCCAAAGTGCTGGGATTACAGGCATGAGCCACCGCGCCCGGCCTCCAGTGCTCTCTTATCCCACTTTTCCATCTGTCACTTGTTCCTTCTGTACCTCTCAACTGCAGCAGGAAAAGACTAGCCTTATTGTGAGCTTCACTGGGCAATTAGAGAGTTCCTTTCTTTCCATGGGGCAGACAGGACGGCTACTGGAAACCAGCCAGCTATAATGGTCCAGGATAGCCTTGGTGTCTTCAGTGCTCAGCTGTGTTGGGTAGGGCTGCAGCTTTTTGTGTCAAGCTGTTCTTTTTATTCTTTAGACAGTTGCCTTTAGCTCAGTCTCTGAACCGCTTTTTAAAAGCACACTATGTACTATAAAAAATAATTTCATATCAGTTGGATAAATTGATATTGAGCATGCATCAAAATTCATTACTAGTAAGGCAATTAGCAGGTGACAAAAGAGCATGCTAGTAAAGACAGGTATGAAATTGGAAGAGTTATACAGTTAGAAAACAATGCCTGCCGAAGCAGCTAGCTTAAAAAAACTATATAACACGCAGCCTTTCACAAAGTCATAAAAACATGTCCATATCCATTATTAGAACAGAGGTCTGTGACAGGATGAGCTGAGGTGCCAGGTGAGCCAGCTGTCATCAGGAAAAAAAGAACGCACATCTAGGAAGCACTGGTACAGACACTGAGCATTAGTACCCAAAGGGCAAGTACCATGGACGTGGGAGAGGGTCAGCAGATTAGAAGAGCACCAAGCAGCGAGTTCTAGTTTTAACTGGCTGCTTCCCGTGATTTTTCTCAAGCTGCCAACACAGGTACAGAACGCAGCTTTCTTACCCTGGGGACGTTTACCTACCTGTGATGGTGTTAAGATAGATGGGTTGGAGGAACCAAAGTTTTATGGCCTTGAAGTGAATAGAGGATCATAAGCAGGTGCTACTCACCTGACAACTTCTTGATGGAGACTTAACTGGCAGTTTGTTTAATTTGAGAAACATGGGGAAGGTTATGATTCAGACCAGCTGCAAATAACAGAGAACCCTTATATAACAGTGGCTTAGTCACGATTTCTTGTTCAGTTAAAAAAAAAAAAAAAAAAGGCTGGGAGAATAGGCATTTCGAGGCTGGACTTACCAGCGAGGGACAGAGAAAGTTCCTGTTACTTAGGAAAAACAGAGGATGGATAGGGAAAGGCATCTGTCAGAGTCATAAACACTAATTCGTGTTCTTGTTTTTATCTCAGATTTAGAGAAATAGCAGGATCCTTAGAAGCAACACTTACAGATGTCCTGGAAGATGCCCCAGGTAACACCCCCAAAGTGATAAGTGGCATGGTATCCTAAATGAGTTCATTCAGTTCACCATGTCAGCTAGATCATAATACTCTGAGCATACTTTCACTGGTTTTTTTTGTTTTTTGTTTTTTGTTTGTTTGTTTGTTTTATCATGCCTTAAGTTGGACCTTAAAATCACTTAGTTTGACTTTTTTTTTTTTTTTTTTTTTTTTTGAGATGGAGTCTCTCTTTGTTTTCCAGGCTGGAGTGCAATGGCATGATCTTGGCTCACTGCAGCCCCCGCCTCCCAGGTTCAAGCGATTCTCCTGGCTTAGCCTCCCAAGTAGCTGGGATTACAGGCATACACCACCACGCCTGGCTAACTTTTGTATTTTCAGTAGTGACAGGGTTTCACCATGTTGGCCAGGCTGGTCTTGAACTCTGACCTCAAGTGATTCATCCACCATGGCCTCCCAAAGTGCTGGGATTACAGGCATGAGCCACCATGCCCAGCCCTTCTTTTTTTTAATAAGGTAAAAATAAACCAAATAGTTTTGGTACATAGAGTTCTTGCTTTATAAAGATGAAAAAGGAATAAGAATATAGGAAACAGACCTCATTTTCATTCCTGAATATAACTTGGCCCCTTGGTGTGCTTATGTGATCAGCTGGTTTTTTTAGCAAATGGGCTGTGATCTGCCTTCCTCCCAGGCTGAGGACTGGTCTGCATGGTAGAGGGTCAGGGTGCTCCTGCCTCTCACTGACAATGACTCACAGCTGAAGCATGCATCCTGGGCCTCCTGGGCCCTGGCTGCCTATGCTGGGCTGCTGGGCAGGTAACAGCTGTAGATATGTGGACTTAGCAGTACATGTTTGCATACTCTGACAGCCTCATTAATTTTTGTATCATATATTTATTCCTAGTGACCACTGAAATACTGTGTGCTTATATCTAGGTTCCTCGACTTAAATTTCCACTCTCTTTTATGCAGCTAAGTCTCCTATCATTTTGAATCAGTTTTAGCTTCAGAATTTGTTTTCATCTGTCTTTGCCAAAAATGGTCATATGTAGTTAACTTCTTCTAAAAGAATAAGAAGTATGTTGAGATAGAGGAAGACTCTTGTGAAACAGGACAAATTTGAAACTGAAGTTTAAACCTCTGCAAGTGATTGCCACTCCAGCCCATGTTTGTTGATTGGGTATAAAGTACCTATTAAACATTATTTCTGAATGCTATATATGTTTGATGTTTATCCAGACACCTGGGAGATAGTGTCATGTAAAACTGTGCGTGGCATGAAGGATGTGGTAGGGAACATGGATTGTGGCCACTCCTCATCCCTGTGCCTCCAACAGCTTTACTGACCACATGGTTTTCTTCAGAAGGCCACTTTCTTTACCTTTGAATCATACATCAAAAGTCTCACATTAGATTATAGCCTAAAATTGTCTGAAATTCCTTAAATGTGTGTTGTTGTTGTTTTTCTCTAGCTGAAAGTCCATATTGCCTTTTGGCTTCTCATAGAACTTGGAACAGCCTCAGGAGGTGTTGGTCAGATGAGATGTTCTTGCCATTGCTGGTGCATCGCCTGTGGAGATTCACTCTGCAGATTTTGGCACGATACTCTGTGTTTGTCAGTGAGGTAAGGGCTGGCCATGGAGCTCATCCATAATCAATACTGATAAAAATTAAAGATGTTAGGCTAACTCCTTAAGCTTTTTGTAAATGCCATGAGAGGTTAATTCAGAGGACCCCAGTAGTCTGACTTCCCAGGATTATCTGCAGCTCTGTTTCTGTGTTTCACTTTTACTCCTGCAAGCATTGCATTTAGGGGTGTCTATTATCATGAACTTGTTTTGTTGAAAAGCACCACTCTGGCAAGTCCGTGTTTTCCCTTCTCAAAACCAGATTCTTTGAACTGCCTCCAAATTAAAAAAAAAGATGTTCATTTTAATTTCAAGGTGAAAATCATTAGAAATAAAAATAGGTGCATTTTAATACTTAATATTTGGAAGGTTACAAAGCGATATTGTCATCAACATAAAAAGGTATTAAAATTGTCTTTTCTTTTTTGAATATCCTTTTCCCTTTTCAAATAATCAAATGTATTAAATATCCACATGCCCTTGGTGACTTATTAATACTCTACAAAAAGCCAGAAATTCTTGATCCACAAGAGCGTTAGTACAGTCCAATGCTCAGCACCAGCCCTGTGGGTTCTTACTAGGACCTCGGATAGCTGTGCTGCCCTTTCTCTGGGGGAAGCGTGAGTAACAGACTCTCAGGTAAACCAGTCATGGCAGTGTGAGGAGTATGCAAAGGAGATGTGTTCTAAAAAATAAAAAAGACAACATGGAGAAAACAGCACACTTTGAATAAAATCTTTGTTATTTGGAGTAGGAAAGGATCCCAGTCCTCCTCTTGCAGTGTATTTTAATGGAAAGAGTGTCAGCTTTGGAGCCAGTGTCAAACTTTGGCTCTTGAACTTTTTAATTCTGTGGACCTAGAGAAATTAAGCTGAGTCTTCATCTGGAGAATGGGAAAACAGCTTCTATACGTGGCTGTTGTGAGGATTTATTTGGACTAAAGCTCCTGTCAGGTAATGGGAGTCTAGTGAAATCTAGTTTGTCTTTCCCTTTTGCCTTCCCTCTGCTCAGAAGCGTCTTAGTGGACAACCCTGGGCCGTCAGCTGTTTCTGAAGACCGCTGTATGATTCACCTGACAGAGTTGGGTTAGGACGATTATTCAGTTAGGCTAAGCATGCGTTCTTGCTAGCCAGGAATTCTCTGTTTATCTGTAATAGATTACTTTGCCCTGAATGTTCATTATCCCATTCTATCCCATTCTTTTCTTGATGCTAGCTTACTTCTTTTTAATTTTTTTCCCTTATAAACAATGTTACGCAAAGAACACTTTGTTTTTTGTATTTGAAGGTTTGGATTTTGATATTTTACCCTTATTAATTATAATTACAAATATGATATGTTATTTGCCTAACATAATTGATTTTTTTTTAAAACTTGTGATGTCCCCAAAATTAATTTTATTGTGGTTTGGGTACTTTATTTTTCACCTGGTTTTTTTTATCACCAGAAAGTAGACAAGTTCCAGAAGGTAAATGTACATGGGGGCGTAGTTTGTCCTTGTTTCTCTTAGTACTTCACTCCTTCCTGTAGATACAATAAGGTGTACTTTTATTAGTAAGTTTTTACTAAGTGCTATGTAGACAGCTAGCATTTAATGGTGAGTTATTGACACACATATGTAATATATAAATGCTCATGTATCTTGCTAGTGTAAAAGTAGTTAATCAGTGAAATCCTTTTTCAGCTTTCACTCAGGCCCATTTCTAATGAAAGTCCCAAGGAGATCAAGAAACCTTTGGTAACTGGTAGCAAAGAACCTTCCATCACCCAAGGAAACACTGAAGACCAAGGAAGTGGTCCTTCAGAAACAAAGCCTGTGGTTTCCATTTCCCGCACTCAGCTCCTGTATGTGGTTGCAGACCTGGACAAGCTTCAGGAGCAGGTAAGCCTGTGTCCCAGAAGAATTCCAGGTGCTTGGTTTAATGTTTTCACAGGAGGTAGCATGTGTAAAAGGCAAACACCATTGGGCCTTACGGGGCTTAAATTGTGGGGCCCATGGGTACCCCAAGAGAGAACCGCTCACCTCCCTTTCTAGGTGTCCCTCCAGCTTCCGCTAACAGATCATGTCCATATAGGGTTTCTAAGGGTGTGCACTTCTTCTGCGTGGAGTGCATTCTGTATTGTATTCACCTCCACCCTGCTTCCTTTTCGGTAGTGATGGGACAAGCTGGAGCAGCCATGCTTCCCCCGCTTTTTTTTTTTTTCCATTAGCTCACCTTATTCTGCTCAGGCATGATCTTTAGTGGGCTGGATTTCAGTTCCTTTACATTAATTTACCCCAGTATTTTCTGTTGATGTTTAATCTTCAGCTATACCTTGAAAGTGCTAAAATACTAAAACTTCTTCCTCTGTTTTCTCTGTATAGATCCATATGTTTTTGCTTGTAACGTTAACTCTGTGGGGTGAATGTAGTGGTGAAGTCCTCTGATACACAGTTCTGCTTTCCTCAACGTTAGATATTTTGTGGTGCTTGAATAAATACCGTTTTGAATTTTAAAATTTGTATGTTTTCAGTAAGAATATGGTCTTTACTGTGTCTATTTTCGTATTATGGAGAGCCATAGAGTAGAAAATGTTTTTGCTTATTTTCTGTGCCTGTTAGTAGCCATTAAACCATGTGATTTCTCATGTTGTTGAAATCTTTTTATAGTAAAAGCATTAAAACTGTTTCTTTCCTTTGATGAAAATTACTGAAATTCCTGATTTTAGATTCACCATTCATTAGCAAATTCTAGCGTTTGTAGATGCAAATAGAATCGCCTCTTCCTTTGATTTATAAAAAGTAACTGAATATATAAAGTGCATATTTATTTCAGCTTCCAGAACTCTTGGAAATAATCAAGCCAAAACTTGAAATGATTGGCTTTAAGAATTTTTCTTCTATCACAGGTAAAAATGAATCTTGACTAAGCAAATCTTTGAATAAGAAATGATTTAAAATAAAATTTCAGAGACTGTAGGGTATATTTAATTTAACATTTTCTTCTGTAGTTGTAAATCCTTGGTTGTTTCTCTATTCTATTCTGTATTATAACTTCCCTAAATAAGATGTTTTGTTTAATTCATTTGATCTGATTTATTATAGTACATACTGTAAATGCTGTGACAGTATTTCAAATGAAGTTCACATCTGGGCCTGAGCATGATGATTAAATCCAGTCTTTAATCTCAACAGCAGCCCTGGAGGACTCCCAGAGCTCTTTGTCAGCCTGTGTGCCCTCCTTGAGTAGCAAGATCATCCAGGATTTAAGTGACTCTTGCTTCAGTTTCCTAAAAAGCGCGCTGGAGGTTCCCAGGCTTTACCGAAGAACCAATAAGGTCAGCGCCATTCATGGGAGAGAATTCTGAGGTGGGGAAGTGTGTATTAGGAAAGCCAAAGAGGAAGGAAGGAAGCGGCGGATTCCCGGGGTAGCCTGAGACAGACTGAGCTCATCCCATTCTGAGAATAGTATTGATGAAGAGAGGGAGGTTCGGCAGGGGTGAACAGGGGCTCTGGGCAACAAACTGAAATAGTTAGACCTTTCCCATCCTATCCTAAAAGTATTTAAGGATGTACTCAGTTTCCTTTTGGTCTTGCGGAAAAGTATGTTTTTCAGAAAAAGCGTTTTAATAACATTTTAAAGTCCTATACATTTTTGTCTCCATATCTGGTATTCCACACTTTATATCTTGTTCCCTCTTTGTTGTTACTGGAAATATAGTTGGCCCCTGTGTCCCCAGGTTCTGCATCCACAGAGCCAACTGTGGATCGAAAATATTCAGGGAAAAGAAAAACTACAACAATAAAAAATAATACAGGCCAGATGTAGTGGCTCACACCAAAATCCCAGCACTTTGGGAAGCCAAGGCAGGAGGATTGCTTAAACCTAGGAGTGTGAGACCAGCCTGGGCAAAGTAGTGACATCCAGTCTCCACACATAAAAAAAGTTTTTTTTAAAAAAAAAATACAAATGTTAGTACTCTAAAGATGATTTAAACTATACTGAAGGGTGTGCATAGGTTTTATGCAAATATGATGGCATTTTATATTTGCTCCTTATTGTCTGATTTGAAGCTGCCTCTCGGAAGTGGGAGAGAGAGAGACCTATTTTATGTTGCCAAATATGTTGTTTTTCTTCAGTAATCTACCAACTCTCCCTTTCTAGTCAATAGGTTGCTACAGTAATATATTTCCTGAGAGTCTGTGTTAGGGTCAGACCCCGTGCTAGACACTTTACATAGTCTTACTATCCTCCTACGAAGTGGGTGCTAGTATTGTCATTTGCAGATGAAGAAACCAGAGCTAAGAAAAGTTACATTCCTGAGCCTGGATCCTTGCTTCTCAAACGGTGGTCTGATGATCAGCAGCATTCACATCACCTGGCGGGTGGGAGCTCGCTAGAAAAGCACAGTCCCAGAACTCAACCCTTCCACCAACAGAATTAGAACCTGAGTTTTCTGCCCCCAACAGAATTAGAACCTGAGTTTTACGAGATTGCCAGGTGATTGATGTGGACGTGAAGCTATGGGAAGCAGCCCTAGTTTCGATGCCCTGAGCCGTGGGTGGCTGTGTCAGCCAGCACCTGAACCCAGCCTGGCTCCAGACGTCACCTTCTTGTGCTGGCTCTTCTTATTCCCTCATGTTCTCCAGGCAGCTTTCTGTGGACCCCAGTGTTACCTTTGGGAGGGATGGAAGTTGTTCATGTCTCAAAACTAGAACATTAATAGTATCCTTTTGGACTTGAGGTCTGGGTAACTTACTCTGTTTCTTTTCTGTTTTTTTCCTGTGCATCTTTATCTCCTACCAACATCATTCCAGGAGGTCCCAACCACAGCTTCCTCCTATGTGGACAGTGCTCTGAAGCCCTTATTCCAGCTTCAGAACGGACACAAGGATAAGCTCAAACAAGCAATAATTCAGCAGTGGCTAGAAGGCGCTCTCAGTGAAAGCACTCATAAGTAAGTAAATTAAAAGTAGACCTTGTGGGCCTTGCTTAGAAGAGTCTGCGGCAGAAACCCCCGAGGCCATCAAGCACTGCGTATGAATAAAGCAGTGAGACTGCCTAGCGCTTCTTCACTGGATTAGTCAGAGTGTGGTCCCGCAGTTTGCTACCTCCCTCCCCACACCCCCGTGGACAGCCCGTGGGCCGGCTTCCTCTGCCTGGGCCGCAGCCTCACTGGCCATGTGCACAGTGCCCCTGCATCTCCTGGCCCTGCCTACGTTCCCTGCAGGTGCCGTTCTCCAAGGTCCAGCCACATTCTTCTTGGAGGCCCTTTCTTTGCTCAGCCCTGTCAGTCCAGAGTGGCTCTAATCATAACAGATAATCAAAGAACTTAGGTTGGTAATCAAGGAAGAGAAAACATACATTTAAAAGTAATTACAGCTGACAAGGACTCAATTCCTAAAACCTCTAAAACACAGGAATGTCTTTTTCTAATGAAATATTATTTTCCTAAATCAACAAGTATGCTATTCAATTTTGTTACTGATTTTGTTTAATTATTAAATATTAATTTTGCAGTAGTATTTTATTTACTTAAGATTTAAGTGGCCATTTATGGGTTAATTTAGAACATAACAATAATGTCTAATACAGTTTTTGTGGGCAAATGTATTTCAAATGCCAAGTAACCAGCTTGTAGACAAAGCTTTGAAATATAACTCATTTATAATTTCAAAATTATATTGAGAGTATTTTAAAGACAATGAACTTTATTGAAAATTCTGAAATACTTTTACACTCTAAAAGATGAACTGTTCCTAGAACTGATTGGAAATGAACTTGTTACTTGATCTGGGGCATGAGCTACAGATGTCCACCCTCGATTAAATTTTAAACAAAATCCATGCAAATACATACTTCTTAAATTCTGAGGGAATGCTGTGTTAGACACTTAAGACTATATATACACATATGTGTCTGTATATATGTGTGTGTATATATATAAAAAAATGATTTTAAGAAACTTAATGACTTACCATGGCTGAATTTTCGTTGGAAACGAATTTGTATCTTAAAAATCTCTTTTTTTGGTCCACAAAGCCAGTCACTGTATTTGGTGTTACACACAAATGCCTCTTTTCACCAGTAAACGTGTCTTCTGCTCAAGGTACTACGAAACCGTGTCAGATGTATTGAACTCTGTGAAGAAAATGGAAGAGAGCCTGAAAAGGCTGAAACAAGCCAGAAAAACCACTCCCACCAACCCCGTCGGTCCCAGTGGTGGCATGAGTGATGACGACAAAATCAGGCTGCAGTTGGCCCTGGATGTTGAGTACTTAGGAGAGCAGGTAACCCATCAGCCGCCGGCAGCTCCAGTGAGCCTGAAACCAAATTCTGAGAGCCGGGCAGTTACTTGGTGGCTCACGTGATCCCAGAGATGCTGTTGCAGTGGCTAGGGAATTGCTTCCCAAGTGTTAACGACTAGGAGTCGGGGCTCCCAAATTATTTTGCCTCTAGGCAATATGAGAAGGAAAAGGTAGAAGAAAATGGAGAATTCCCGTTTTGAAGTCCAGTGGCATGCTCTCTGGTGCTGTTGCCATCTGCTGGTTTCCCCAGTGCCCATGCTCACAGAGCTCACTACAGTGGGACTTTTTGGTCAAGTGCCTGATACTTAATTGGTGCTAACCCCAGGCTTTTGAAATCCTTGCTGGTTTAGCTTAAAATAACTGAAAGCATTTATCCCTCTATGGTGCGTAGGAAATCCTCTGAGCAGACCTCCTCTGCTTCCCTGGTTGGCTTTTGTAGGTTTCCTATAAAACACAAATTTTAGAATCATGGCATGTGGCTGAATGGTAATGTGGATATTATCACTTAAGATATGGATAACATGTAATGAATGTCTGAGGTGAAAATGAAATTTCATCATAAAATGAAATGTTATGATACTGTGAGGACAGTTCATAAAACCTCTAGATGTTCAGAAACTGGCCTTCTAAACTGTTGAAGTGTCATCCCACACAGTAGTAGGTCCTCAAAGGAGGCCTTTCCAGAGGGAAAAAAATTGAAATTATAAAGTTTCCATAAGAGGACACTTGGTCTTGATTTGGAGAACTGAGACAATGTTAATAGAAAAAGCAAAAAAAATAAAAGCAGTCAAAACAAGACCCTTGATTTTCTAGCTTACTAAGGAATTTCTTTTACACGTCATGATCATCACTGAAAATTCAACTGTTTTCTGCTTTGAGATGAATTTAGAGATATATCCTGGTAAAAGTCAACTGCCATGTTGCTTTATTTGGCAAAAAAACCTAAAGACTTTTTACAAGCAAGAAAGTATATTATAGAAAGGTGAAGAGCCAATGAGCAAAAGAAAGGGAAGGAAGGAAGGAGAGTGGGATAGGGAACTAAAAGGAAAGAGAAGGGAAAGAAAAGGTGCCTCCGCAGTCCCGGTCCCCAGAACAAACCACAGAATGCTGACAGACACTTGGTGTGTATCTTTCCGGATCTTTCTCTGCGTGTGTGGTGCGTGTGTGTATGTGTATGGATGTATACGTGTATGTGTGTTGTTATTGTCATTTTTAAACAAAAGTGGGAACATAGTGTGCCATGTCTCAGTGACCAAAATAATCCACGGTAGTTGCTGTGCCAAGCAAAGTGTTTTCAACTCATCTGATTCTAAAAGGTTTTTGGCAATATGTTAAGAAACTAAGAGCACAGGCCAGTACTTTTTTGAAAATTCTCTACTTAAAAAATAGTTCACTTTTTTATTTCCCTAGTGTAGATTTTCTTTTCTAGTGTTTTTTAGGCCCACAAAAGGGGCTCTTATTCTGTCTGATTTATTGGACTAAGATAAATTAACCTACTGGCTTCTTAGAATGGTAAGTGTTTGACCCCAAAAACCTCACATTTTACAAGAAGTAAACCCTTTGCTCTAGAGGAAAAAATATCCTACAAGTCTTCAGGGAACTGTCTTCTGGTTTAGTAGAGGATGAAGATTTTCTTTCTTCCCCCTCCCACATTCAGCTTGAATTGCAGTAACGTAATTCATTCTCATGGCCTTTGCAGATACAAAAGCTGGGACTGCAAGCAAGTGACATAAAAAGCTTCCCAGCTCTCGCAGAGCTTGTTGCTGCTGCCAAGGACCAGGCAACAGCAGAGCAGCCTTAAGCATCTTGGAAGATCTCGAGGTTAGATTCTTAAGCAAGAGAAGAGTTGGACTTCCAGGCTGAAGGGGAGAAAGTGACTCTGTTCTCTTAGCAACCGTCCGTAGCGAAGAAGTGCTTCCAGCATCACTCCAGCGACACGCCCATGCGTCTTCTCTCAGCGTATTTGGGTCTTCCTTTGCCCAAAAAGAACACAAAAGCCTTTTTCCATTGTATGGAAGATAGTTTTTAAGACATTTGAAACTTTCTACTATAGTTTACAGAACAAATTATTTTATTTTTATTGTAAATCTTAGTGTGGAAGAGCTGATTTCTAAAATATGATTAAAGTAAATATATACCTATGAATGTCAGGAGTTGTCTCCCTGAGCCTGCAGTTGGAAGTGACGACTGTAGTGGAGTGATGTCCTGTATAGAAACGCCCTTCTCTGAAATAAAGAGAACTCCTGGGCTTTCTAAAGAGGCTGCCGGAGGCCGTCCTCCACTCCCACTGTGTGTGGGAGCAGTGCTTCTGATCCTGCTGTCACCGCAGCCTCTGGCAGGGGCCGGCACCAGTAGGAAAGACCTCCTTCCTAAATAAAAGACGTGTCTCCCGGGAGTGTGTGCTCCTTTTCTTTGGGAATTCCGCACCAGGAAAGCACTCCTCATCACCCGTGCCTGTACTGACATGTGTTCCCTTCCAGACAGGTGCCCCTCTTAGCACCAATGGGAAGGGTCCTGGCCAGCACCAGCCCTTTCTTTCAATGTGTGGGAGTTCCTTTCCTTGGAGGGGTAACACAGCTTCCTTAGGAGTCGGCAGGCCCCGCCCTTCCTGGCAAGCTGATGTGGATAGAAGGAAGGAAGACTGCCCTGAGAAGAGCTGGAAGCACCAGGGAGAGGCACTCCGAGACTGGTTTGTTGGTTCGAACTCACATAGGCAGCATGGAGCACCGTGTAGCCCCTGCCTAGCTGTGGCTTCAGCCCTCCCAGCCTGATGAGGAGCTGGAAGCAGCTATGTTAAGTCCTTAGTCTTGCATTCCCGTGCATCTCAGTCCCTTCTTTGTTCAAAGGTTCGCCGTAGGGAGAGGAAGTAAATGGTAGGGAATGAGAGCAGGTCCTGTAGTTAGCAGGCTTGAGTTTTTTAGCACAGACCGGGATGAGGAGGGCTAGAGAAGTCAGAGGAAATCCCAGTGATGAAAGCACCAAGAGCCAGGTGTGTGTGGAGCCCCAGGGGCTACCACGCGGCCCCCAGCCCACCACAAAGAGTGGCTTCCCCTTTCTGTTTGCAGGTAACAGACCTTGGACAGTGGCCCCCTGTGTAGAGAGCATCTGCTTTGGGCTTAGCGCTGGAGGCCCTGCCCCTGGAGGGGGTTGTGTCCAGTTCTAGAGTTCAGTGTTGGGAAATGTGGTCAGTGACAGAACCATGGGACAGAGACAAACAAGGGATTTCTTCTCAGGGCTTGACCTCCCTGCTGTGGGAGCCGGCTCACCTGGCAGGGCTGTGGCACGGTGCGGTACCATCAGCAGGGCGCCGTCGGAAGGAAAGACGGGCTTGCAGTGGGGGAGCGAGAATGAACTGGAACCCGTGAGGATAAATGGAGCCCGCATCTGGCTCTTGCTGCCTCCTGGTCTCCCCAGTTCAGTGATGGGGTGACGTGCAGAGGAAGCCGCACATGCACTTGGTCCAGGATTCGGGGAAGCTGAAGGAAGAGACTCCACAGGAGCTGGAGGAGTTGCGTGCCTGCCTCCTGCCCCAAGCCAGCAGGAGAGCGTGCAGCTCTGGGTCACCGTGCGGGAGCTGCAGTGGAGCCCAGGCTGCAGCAGCCTGCTGCGTGTGAGCATGCAGCCACCCCACCCCACCACCTGCAGCTGTTTCCTGTGACCAAGGCCAACCTCAAACCATCCAGGAGGGGAGTCATGGGGAACACAGGTCCAGCCTAGCTAAGCCGATCCAGTGCAAAGCTACCTCAGTAACCACATGGAGGTAAGCTACTTCCTCCACCCCAGCCTTCATCGATAGACCCCAAATGTTTGTCCCCATCTCCCTGAGTGCTCTGCCCTTCCCATTTGTTTTAGAACATAGAAGGAGAGGGTTACGACTTAACATCCCCTCCAACTCCAGCATTATTATTCGCATTTTACAGATGAGGAAACGGAGCTTAGGTCATCAAGATAACTAATAAGTAGGGTTGAAACCCAAGCAAGATAATTCCAGAGCCTGGTTTACTAATTGTTAGGTAATTCTCCGTCCCTAAAATCAGCACTACAATAAAGAAGTTGACAGTCAAGAATTGGAATGTAAGTTGTTGATTTCTTTGACCCTGTCAAGCCCCACACTGGCCCTGGACTCAGCACACTGCCTTTCTCAATGACAGCCTTGATGCCATAACTCCTGCTTCTAGGAAACATGCCTGTAATCCCAGAACTTTGGGAGGTCGAGGTGGGTGGATCACCTGAGGTCAGACGTTCAAGACCAGCCTGGCCAACATGGTGAAACCCCGTCTCTACTAAAAATAAAAAATTAGCTGGGCATGGCAGCACGTACCTGTAGTCCCAGCTACTCAGGAGGCTAAGGCAGGAGAATCACTTGAACCCGGGAGGCGGAGGTTGCAGTGAGCCAAGATCGTGCCACTGCACCCAGCCTGGGCAACAGTGTGAGACTCCGTCTCAAAAAACAAAAAGAAAAAGAACAAGAATCTTTGGGTAAAAAGCAAAAGGCTTCAGAGCCTTTGTCCGTGGCTCCCCCAGAACATCTCTCCTTTCTTTGATACGTGTTTTATTTGCTTTGCTTTGGAGAAATTACTATTGAATAAAGCTTAAAGATGGAATAATACTTATATACTATAAACCTGTAATTAGTTTCAATTTTTCTAACATATAGACTTAAAAGAGGGTGCCAGCCACAGGAGAAGTTTTTTCGTTCTACTATAACACTGCTGGGGAGGCCGTGAGTAGGTCATTCGGGGACCCAGGCTGACTGGAAGTCAACCATCTCCATCCTATGGCTCCCAAGTTCACCCTGGGGAAACCTCCTGTGTTCATTTCCAGGGCTGCTGTAACAAATTACCACAAGTGTGGTGGCTTAAAACAACAGAAGCGCATTCTCTCACAGTTTTGGAGGCAGAAGTCTAAGCTCATGGTGTCAGCCGGGCCGTGCTCCCCCCGCAGGCTCTAGGGGAGATTCCTGGCCTCCTCCAGCGTCTTGTGGCTTGAGGTTCCTTGGTTACGGCAGCATCACCCCAGTCTCTGCCTCTGTCTTCACGTGGCCTCCTCCCCTTCTGACGGATAGGGACACTGTCATCGATTCAGGACCCACCCGGTTAATCCAGGATGATCGCATCTTGAGATCCCATGCTTAATTACATCTGTAAGGACCCTTTTCCAAATATGTTCACATTCACATGCTCTGGGGGTGGGAGGTGGACATATCTTTTTGGAGGCCACCGTTCAGCCCACTCCCCCTCCACTGCAGCCTACCAGAAAGAGAAAGGATTGTGATGGGGACGCCCAGGGTGTGGCTATGGCCCCAGTTTGGATGAGCACAAAATCCTTCCCCCTCACTCCAGTGTGTGGAGCTCAGGCATGTGGGGCCTGGAACTGTAGTTTTAGTTGCGTGTCCAGAAAGGAGAGAAAGAAAAAAAGGATTTGGAACTTCTGCAGACAAACTCCCCAATCTCTGATCTGGGATCAATAAAGGTAATCCTCACGGGTCCCTAGAACTGCTATATAGAGTTGCCCATATGGGAACCCCACAGTCACCCAACAGTGCTGCCCATGGCTTAATGATCCCAGCGATGGAATAAAAGCAGGGTCACTCAGGAACTGTAGTGCAGGAGGTAAGGGCTGATTTTCCTTTGCGGGGCCCTTTTGAAATAACCATGAAGCTCTCTGGTACTCGGGTCTAGATGTCACTCCAACAGCAGCAACAGCTCTGGTGGTACAGTAATTGGAGCCAGCATGGCTGCGTCATTGACGACGTGGACATCTCCATAGTATGTTGATGTCTCAGAACTCAAAAGCAATGATCAACGCAGATGCTAAACTGTTAGATTCTTAAACAAGATCTGTTAGGGGTCCACGTTTGAAGGCAGTGTTATTTTCTCTGTTCACGGCATCTGAATACATCTGGTGGATCTTTCCCTCCCTATCAGCAGCCAGACAATCCAGTCGGTTCCAGCAGTTTGTGAAAAGCAGGCCTTTGCCAGTTGGCAATCCTCTCTCCATGTAAGACCTCAGCCTCAGCGCCCTCAGGGAAACGCTGCTTGTCTTTTGAGATGTGCACACAGTCCTGGTGCTGCCTGTGAGTCTCAGTGTTTGCCCTGAAAATATCCTGCTACTTTTAATCAGCCACTAAGCTTCGTGTTGGATGGCTGTGAACATCTGTGAATTGTTCAGTGAAGGAAGGGTTACCTTCATTTGATTGCGAAAGTTTCTCCATTTTCCACTCAACCCTCAGCTGGTTTTCGTGTGGAGACTGAATTTCAGAACAATCAGCATTCTCATTTTTCCTTAGCTCTCACTAATCTTGAACTAAAATATATTATTGGCCGGGCGTGGTGGCTCATACCTGTAATCCCAGCACTTTGGAAGGCCAAGGTGGGCAGATTACCTCAGGTCAGGAGTTCCGAGACCAGCCTGGCCAATATGGCGAAACCCTGTCTCTACTAAAAATACAAAAATTAGCTGGGCATGGTGGCGGGCACTTGTATTCCCAGCTACTTGGGAGGCTGAGGCAGGAGGATCGCTTGAATCCGGTAGGTGGAGATTGCAGTGAGCAGAGATCTCACCATTGCACTCCAGCCTGGACAACAGAGCAAGATTCCATCTCAAAAAAAAAGGGGGGGGGGAATTGTTAATCTTCAGAGTGGCATTCTGACTGTTTAAATCTCTTGTGTAATCCAGCTTGATGGCATGTTGGGGACCTGATTGACCCTCCTATGCTAAACAACTGAAAATCGACACTGTGTGAAACAGCGCCACCCAGTGTTGGATGCCAGCAGTGCAGGGTCCCAGAGAGAAGGGGCAGGTGGGGGGTCCTGCGATGGCCCAGGGTCTCGCATGGAGGGTCTCTGGATGCACAGGAGCATTCAGAGCCCAGCCGACTCCCTGAGAGGAGGCAGTGTGGAGTTTGGGAACACTGAAGAGGCTGGAACTGGGGGTGCAGAGTAATGGAGAGGAGCGAGGTCTCTGGAGCATATTGACCAGCCTGCCTGTATAAAGAGGTTGTCAAGGCCAAGGAAGGAATCCCCAGAAAGGAGCAGGTAGAAAAAAGCCCCAGAGCAAAACGGGCCTGAGAAAAGTGTGTCCAGAGTGGAAAGACGTGGAGGGTGGGGGTATGGCCCCAGCAGTGGAGCCAAATTTACCTGATGTAAAGGGCTGACCTGAAGCTACCTCACAAAACATAGACACAAGCCTCGAAGGATGACACTCTCTCCACCTAACTTCCTGTTTTTAATTTTAGCTGCAGGGTGTACATGTGCAGGTTTGTTACATGAATATATTGTGTGATGCTGAGATTTGGGCTTCAGTGGAACTCGTCACCCAAATAGTGAACATAGTAGTGAGTAGATAGTTTTCCAACCCTTGACCTTCTCTTTTCCTCCCCTTTTTAGAGTCTCC